AAATAATACTAAATGGAACCATATAAAAATGCTACTTTTATTGGTCAAAAACTGGTTGGATATTGACAATTTAATGTGGTTTAATTTAAGTCCCCATAATTTAGGACAGTTAAAAAAGTTAAATCTGCTAATTTATGAGAAGTACTTAGAACAGCACTTGGCAGAAAACAGGTACCACATTATATGCTGGCCTAAAATGAAGGGATTAATCAGTGACGAATGGATGGAAAGATATATATAGATTAAATAAAATCAGCTGGCAAATACATATATATATATATATATATATTATATAGTAGCAGCTAGCATAAAACTTAACACTTATTAGAGTAGCTATTAGTCATAGTAAACCCATGCATATGAACTAATGTTCAACAAGGTGTCAAGAATACACAAAAGAGAAAGGATATTCTCTTTCACAAATGGTGTTAGGAAACTAAAACAAAAGAATGAAATGAGACACCTATCTATCTTCACTATATACAAAATGAACTTGAATAGATTAAAAACTTAAATATAAGACCTGAAACTATAAAAATCATAAAAGAGAACATAAGGGAAATTCTTTTCATGACATTGGTCTTGGCACTGATTTTTTTTTTGGATCTGACATCAAAAGCAGAAGCAACAAAAACAAAACTATACAAGTGGGAATACATCAGACTCACAGTGAAGTAAATAGTCAGCAGAGTAAAAAGATAGCCTAGAGAATGGGAGAAGTATTTGAAAACCATAAATCTGATAAGGGAGTAATAGAACATAAAGAACTAAAACAATTCAATCAGAAATCCTGGAAATATAATGTTCTTTAAGTCAAATGAAAAAACACAGTTGAAAACTACTCCAGCAGACTGGAACAAGTGGAAGACAGAATTTCAGGGCTTAAAGGCAAAATAGCTATTAAAAAAATAAATAAATAATGAAGAATCCTCAGACAAAAGACTCAACAGTTGTGAAAGGAATTCACAAGAACTCAGCAACTCCATCAAAAGACCAAACCTGTGAATCATGGGCATTGAAGAAGGAGAAGAGGTGCAAGCCAAAGGAATAGGCAATATACTCAACAAAATAATCACAGAAAATTTCCCAAATCTTGAGAAAGAGATGCCCATCCAGGTACAGAAAGCCTCTAGGACAGCCTCAACAGACGTGACCAAAACAGAACTTCTCCGTGATATATTATAGTTAAAACAATTAGCATAGAGAACAAGGAAAGAATAGTGAAGGCTGTAAGAGAGAAAATCAAATAACATATAAAGGTAAACCCATCAAAATAACTGATTTCTTAACAGAAACCTTAAAAGCAAGAAGGGCATGGAGTGAGGTATTTTGAGCACTGAGAACAATTTCAGTCCTAGGATACTCTAGCCAGCAAAACTGTCATTCAAAATTGAAGAAAGAATAAAATCTTCCACGAGGAACAGAAACTAAAATAATACATGACCACTAAACCACCACTACCAAAGATTCTGAAATGAATCCTACACACAGACGTTGAAAACAAACATTTTCATGAAAGGATGGGGAATATTAAACCTCAAAAGAAGAACAGACAAGTAATCAGAGAGTACCACTGAATCAGCTGCATACATTCAAGTCCTTAAACAACAGAAACAACTAAGTGGCAGGAATCACCACATACCTCTCAATATTAACACTGAATGTTAATGGACTCAACACCACCACCAGAAGATACTGATTGGCAAGCTGCACTAAAAAAGGAACACCTAACAATCTGTTGTTTACAAGAAACTCACCTCACAGACAAAAAAACATTGCTTTAGTATGAAAAGGTAGAAGAAGATTTACCCAAACAGGCAGGAATAGCAATACCTATATCAGATAAAATAGATTTAAAATCTCAATTAGTCAGAAGAGACAAAGCTCACTTCATACTAATAAAAGTAACAACACATCAAGAGGAAATAACAATTGTTACTTTATATGTGCCAAATGTTGATGTACCCAGCTTCATTAAACATATACTACTAGACTTAAAAGCACAGATAAACCCCAACACAGTGGTAGCGAGAAACTTCAACACTCCTCTATCACTAATAGATAGGTCATCCAGACAAAAAAATCAACAAGGAAACTCTAGAATTCAATGACACCTTATAAGGATCAAATGGACCTGACAGATGTCTACAGAGTATTCCATCCTGCAATAACACAATATACATTCTTCTCAGCAGCCCATGGATCTTTCTCCAAAATAGACCATAGTTTAGGTCACAAAGCAAGTCTTAACCAATATAAGAAAACTGAAAAAAATCCCCTGCAACAACAACCCAATAAAACTAGAACTCAACAACAACAACAAAAAAAAACAGCATAAAATACTCAAGTAATTAGAGACCAAACAACAAATTGCTCCATGATCAGAGGGTCATAGAAGAACAAAGGAAGGAATCAAAAGATCCTGGAATTTAATGAGAATGAAAGCACAAACATTCAGAACCTATGGGACAAAGCAAAGGCAGTCCTAAGGGACAAGTTTGGAGCCATGAGTGCATATTTTTAAAACACAGAAAGATCTCAAATAAATGACCTAATGCTGCATCTCAAACTCCTAGAAAAGCAAGAACAAGTAAAACAAAACTAGCAGGACAGAAATAATAAAAAGAAGTACTGAAATCAACAAAATATGACCAAAAAATAGAATACCATGTAATCTAGAACTCACGTCTGAGTAGATATCCAAAATAAATGAAATCAGGATCTTGTTTTTTGGTGGAACTAGGGCCTGAACTCAGGGCTTTCTGCTTACTGGGCACATGCTTTACCCCCTGAGCCATGCTTCCAGCCCTTTTAGTTTTAGTTATTATTCAGACAGGGTCTTGTGGGGTTTTTTGGCCACGCCAACCTCAGAATGCAGTCCTCCTATCTATGTCTCCCACATAGCTGGGATGATAGGCCTGCACCAACATGCCCAGCTTAATTGTTGAGATGAGATATTGCTAGCTTTTTGTCCACGCTGGCCTCAAACCATGATCCTCCCAACCTCTGCCTCCCACATAGCTAGGATTACAGGCATGAGCCAGTGCCTTGCTGAAATCAGGATCTTAAAGAAATTTATACACTCTCATGTTCATTAGAGCATTATTCATAATAGATAAAGTATAGAAACAACATAAATGTCCATTGACAGATGAATGTATAAAGAAAATATAGAATATACAGGAAATGGAATACTATTCAGTCTTTGAAAAGAAAGAAATCCTACCATATGTGACAATATCTCTATTATAGTAGTTGAAATAAGCTAGTCACAGGACAAATCCTATATGATTATACTTATATGAAGTCTCTAAAATAGTCAAACTCATAGAACCAGAGAATAGAAGGGCGGTTACTAGGGCCAGGAAGATGGGGCATGGAGTATTGCTATTCAATGGGTATAAAAAGTTTCAGTTATGGACGGTGAGTAAGTTCTGGAGATCTACTATACAACATTTGCCTATTGGTAATGTTGTATTGTGAAGATGGTGGGTTAGAAGTATCCCCTGCTTTGACTCCATGAATGAGGAGTGTCCAGTAACAAAGGAGAGACTATTCTAAAGAGAGAAAGAAAGGAAAAGCATCAGAAATCAAAAGAGAGAAAGAGCATCAGAAATCACAAAAGAAGAGGTAGGACAGCTGAAAAGCACGAAGGAACAGAATGACCAAAGAGAAAAGCAGAAAACAGCTCAAGGTTAAACTACCCTAGAAATTTGCATGGGGACCAGTCAAGGTTTCCAAAAGGAGGAAACAAGCTACAGCACAGTTTAGCGGTCAGGAGGTGGGGGTTGCCAGCAGGGACCAGCTTCTAGGCCCATATCTCACAGGGACACAGGCACACAATTACTAACACACCAGTCTCATCATGAAATTCTAATGTGCCAATGCCAGAGGACACGTGAAGAAGAAAGAATCATTTATCACACCAAAGGACAAAAGAGCCAACACTTACCAGGCGGCAGAGGTAAAAACAAACTGCTAGTAGCTTCCAAAATCCTGGTCATAATGTGAAAGACTGCAGACTCAGCAGCACTGCCAAGTCTATTGCTGAGTAAAAACAACAAAGTCAGCCAAGGAGCTCATCCCTAATGCCCTACTGTTCCAAGCAGTGACCCTGAGTACCACACACAAGGATTCATGCTAATCATGAAATGCTATACCCCATAGAAAGTGTCATAAAGGTGACAGTGGCCATCAGCCTAAGGTGTAGAATTGAACCAGATCATAGGGTCATAAATTTTAAATTGTGCCAGTCAAGATGAAATTCATCATTCCCAGCACTTGGGAGACTGAGGCAGGAGGTTTGCAAGTTCAAGACTGGCCTGGACTACATAGCAAGACTCTATCTCAAAATAAAGAAATATACTAACTAATTAATAAAACTAATGAATTATGAATTGTATAAACTGAAACGCCCTTTCTTAGAAATACTGGGCTCATGTGTCCCTCCATTGTCATTGACCATTGCCAGGGATGGAGGATGGATGAAATAACTTTTAGATATAAAACTAAGGTAGATGGTGCTGGGATTGTTGGTAAGTGCTTTGCACTAGTAAGCGTCAAAGGGCTTTGCTAGAACAGGAAGCTATCAGTAGCTGGTTCTTCGTATACCATGATAAAGGAGAGGAAAAAATACTTGCGTACAGGTGGAAAACCCAAGAGTGAAGATTATGTTTCCTCAAGCTGGTTTCCAGAATGCAGCAAATGAGATCCAGCTAGAGGAAAAGATAATCCGTTAGCCATTGCTCAGGTTCTTTCCTCAAGGCCCCTTGGATGTCCCTCCATGGCTTTGACAGCCTTTTCAGGGCAGTTGGCACTCAGGTTGTTCCCAGATACACAACCAGCCTTTCTGAGGTCAATTCTGAAGCACTGAAATCCAAAATGGAAAGACTGAAGATGTGCCCCAAAGTCTAACAGAGCACCCTCTATCTGTGTGGACAATGCCCTGTCCAGCTAACTGGTCCCACCATCCACACTGACAAACCCTCACCCATCAGTGAAGGCCAAGTGCCAACAATTTTGCTCTTTGCCTGTTGCACTGCAAGGGCCAAGAGCTGACAGTCAAAAGAAAGAAGACCCAGGGTAGAACAGAGATCACAAGAATAAGCCGTGTAGTAGGACCGGTATCAAGTCCAGGCTCTATGGCTGTGTCACCCAAGGCAAGTCACCTCTTCTCCCCACATCTCAGTGTCCTCATCTATAAAATGATGGGAAAGGACTTAACAGGGCTGTTGTACAAGTTAGCATGTTAGCTGGAACACAGGTGCACAATAAAACATAACTGTAATCAACCAGAGTGGAGAGCCTTCTTCACCTTAGGGCGTTATCCAGAAACTCAGTCTAATTTTGCAATGAGCTTTTCAGCAGTAGGGCAGCCTGCATAGGGCTATCTACCATGAGTTGGCACATAGCAAGCACCAGTTAAGAGCAGGGGGCAAGGCAGAAAGGATCTCCACAGATGCACAAACGCATCCTCCCTGACCAGACTCCCAGTTTCTCTTCGGCTGAATTAAGATGACGTGTGAACAATACAGTCAAGTTCTACAGCAACTTCCTTGGATGCTGCTAAGCATGACCAGCCACTGTCCTCAGAGGGGCACCGGTGTGGCTGGTTTGCTGCTGAGCAAGGGCAGGGAGGGACACTGGCCTCAGTCAGTGACTTCTAAGTCAGAAAGCCAGGGACACTGAGTTTCTTAGTCTACATAGGTATCATTTCTAGGCCTATTGGCTCTAGGCAGTTATGTAAACTAGTTTTAAATTTTTAATGTGGTTAACTACAGAGAAGAATGATGCTTGAATGCAAATCCTTCTTAACATTCTAGAAGGTGAAATTTCAGATCAACAGAAAGAAAGATGAGGGCTTTTACCTTGAGAAAGAGAGGTAAAGGACTAAGAAAGCAAGTGAATATCAACACGTTCGTTAAGTGGGTCCCTTGCTACAGTTTTACTGAGAAGGAGGAATTTAGGGAAGATTCAACGCTCGGATTATAAATAACAATATGAGAATACTCAGCTTCTCCTATTAAAATTTATGAAGTCTAAACCTTTCTACAGAAATTCAATTATTTAAAAAATAGACACCAATGACTGCAATAAAGGCAGAAAACGTTAAATTTGAAGAGATGAAATCAGATTTAACTAATCTTCCAGAGTTAACTGCAAAAAATATACATTCACACACTGACTCATTTGCATGCTGCTCTTACCCAAACTTGGGTAGGAAATAATGGAGCATTCTTTCGCTTTCTGTATAAATGTCAAGCATCTTATTTCTAGATTCAAAACAGATTCATGCCTCAACCTTATAATGCTTTTTGAGAGACGCAAGACCGCCTTGAAATTCAACCTCATCCCACAACTTCTATTTACATAGGAACTGGTGTTATTAATTTGTATCACACAATTTCCATACCTGGCTACAGGAAGTAAGCCGCCATTTCATCAGCAGACTCCAGTGTGGTGGTAGTTACACAAATGATCTGGCATCTGGCCTACTGGCCAAGTTCAAGTTCTCACGTGTCTGTGTATGTCTCCATGTGTAGAGATTTCTGTACTTACTGTTTAATAATGGGCTGGAGGTTGCCAAGGTGAGATGTAAACAGTTGGCAACCATTCAAATTTCATTGTCCTACGCTTCTATGAACCGATAACCAGTAGTTGAAGGGAGGGCAGTAACCACTTTCAAAACCAAGTTCTTTGTTTATTGTTCTGATTTCCCCTTTCCTCAACCCATAACACCAAATATAACTGATTTGAAGATGAGAGATCCCTAAACACCTGATTTGAAAAACACACAAATGGTCTCCCTGACATACATTCTGAGCTGTTACACATGGGGTAGGGAGTAGTTTAGGTTAGGGAATAAAAGCAAAACCAACCAGTTTCGAAACGTAGTCCAGGGCCATATGTTCAATTTTCTTCTTTTCCACGCCCTGTAAGTGTCTCAAAAGATGGTCTTTTAGCTCAGACACCATCTGAAAACAGGATATGCATTAGATAAGTCAGAACCCACCAACTCATACCTGCAAGTGATTTGAATTATAGCCATTCATTGACATTAACATGACAATATCCGATCTAAAGATCCTATCAACCAACATGCATAACTCTCACCATTTCTCTTGTTGGATCTGGGGATCAGAAGATAAAATAAGCCAGTGCCCTCATCCCCCATGTGGGCCCCACATCCTATAAAGGGACAGGTGGCTTCACAAGTCATGGCCCCCTGGGGATGCCTCAAAATGCCACAAGGCTGATAAGCAGGAGGCTTTCATAGAACTGGGTATATGTTCCTGCAGAGATGTGTTAAGAGACCACCCCACCCCTGACTCCTGCACCTCCCCTTTCCTCCCCTCCCCGACAGAGTGTGTTTCTACAAAGATATGTCAAAAGGCCACTCCACCCCTGACTCCTAACTCCCTCCCCAACAAAAAGGACCAAATAAAAACATGCCCCCCCCATGAACGACAGGGAGCTCCCAGTTTTCCTGGCTCCCTGTCTGCCTCTAAGGGCAGCTTTTCCTTCCTCTCTAATAAATCCTACTTGTGTGCTGACCTTGTCATCCCACAAATTCGCTGCCTCACAAGCCAATTCTTTGGCCAGTGAAGGCAAGGACTCTCGACACTGGCTCACAATACTCTGGTAAGAAATCAGGTGATTGACACATTTTCCTGAAAAGGGAACTACCAAAGCTCTGAGAGCAACAGAGAACCAAGTGCCAAGCCCTGAGGAGAATTCTCCAAAGGAGACTATGGAAGTTCCCAACTTAGAAGTTATAGGCTTTGGGACCCACCAAAGGATTGAGATCAGCTACATGGGGGGAATCATCAGGAACAAGTCTACACACAGAATGACTGCTCATGGGGCAAGAGTTTGGGGTGCTCGACAGAGGCAGGAGGAAAAAGGAATCGTATCAGGTATGGTGGCCACAGACTCTCCACACACTCGCTACATGCAATGAAATCCTCGTGTCGTGTGTAACAGCTCGTTTCTGTGCCTGCTCTGTTCTCATCATCCTGGGGCTTCTCCAATCAGAGGTTGACATTCCCGCCTTCCCCACCTTTGCTGTTCTCTCTCCTTCCTCCTCTTTCTCCTCCTGTTCTAGATTCCCTGCTCAGCAAAAAGGCCTCCTGACTAAGTGGTCTTTGTGGCCATGAACAGCCCGTGAGAACTGTACAGATGACATCATACATGCACAGAGCCTTTGGTTCAGCAGATTCGCCATGGCCATCACAGCCAAGACATGGTGGTTTCCTATTTCAACTCAGCCTCCTAATGTGCTAGTTGATTTGGCTTTTCAAAAAGTGAATCTTTTCGTGATTAAGAAACAATACATGCTTTTATGCTCTTTCGCTTTTCTATAATAACTATAAAGGTAAAAATTAAAATCACTCATAATTCTACTGCCTACATTAACATTTGGGGGTTCCCCCTTTTCTCTGGTATACACACCCATCCTAGTGTTTTGTAATCTTTTTTCATGTAATAGTTCCCTTATGTCATTCAATTTTTTACACTAGTTTTAATGATTGCATAGTATTTTATGCAAGTACTCTAATTGATTTTATTCTCTTGCACATATAGGATATTTCTTTTGCTACTGTTACTACCGCCCAACAAAAAACATTTCTAGAAAGGATGTTTGCCATGTCCCCAATTATTTTTCTCAGATTTAATTCCTAGAAGTGGAATTTGTTGGGTTGCATGCATTAGGTGGCAGGACACCACCAAAATGCCTTTCGCTGCAGTTATACTAATTTTCTAGTGTGTCTCGTGTAGCTATCCAATTCCCTGGGCCTGGACTTTGCTAGTGGGAATTTTAAATCTTTGCCAATTTGATAGTCAAAAAACAAAAACGAAAACCACTTGTGCTGTTCATCACTTGATGACGCTCATGTTGAATGTGTCTTCTGTTCCCCCACTCTAGACTTTCTGGCCATTTACTTTGAAAAGTGATCAGTCAGTGCCTTGCTCCATTTTCTCTTATTGTTTTCTTATTGATTTATAAACTTGATACAAATATCAGTCACTTGTCACATTTGTTGCAACTTTTTCCAACTTTATTATTGGCCTTTTGGTTACTCTATTTACATTTTAGGTTGCAGTCAGTCTAATCTATCTTTTCCTATCTATGTTCAGTAACATTTTAAAGACCTTTTCTCAGTATTATTTAACTATCTACTTATTTTATTCAAAGTCTTTCACATAGTTTAATTTTTATACTAAACTTTTTAATATAGCTGGTATTTCTGTTGACTTATAAAATGTTGATGTGTTAACTTTCTTTTCATTAACAATTGATTTATTAAAAATTCTTGGTTGGATACAGTGTCTCATGCCTATAATCCCAACTACTTGGGGACAGAGATCAAGAGGATCATGGTACAAAGTCAGTCTGGGCAAAAAGTTATTGAGACTCATCTCAATCAATAACCAAGGTATGGTAGGTCACATCTGTAATCTCAGCTATATAGGAGGCATAGGTAGGTGGGTTGCAATCTGAGACCAGTTCCAAGCAAAAATGTGAGACCCTATCTGAAAAATAGCTAAAACAAAAAAGGGCTAGGAGCATGGTTAAAGTGGTAGAGTATCTCTCTAGCAAGCACAAAGCACTGAGTTCAAGACCCTAATACTGCCAAAAATAATACTCTTTCTTTCCACATTAATTTTAAATACTGCATTGATTGTACACTAAAGATTCACTCTTAAACTAGGTCTGCCAACTGCAAATTTTTATATAATACCACACTGCTTTTATCATTGTAGGTCAACAACACATTTAAGATACCTGTGAACATCGGTCACCTTCTGCTCAGTTTGCCAAGTGACTTACTTAGTCAACTGTTAGGGAAAGCTCAATGGCTTCTGGGCTGTAATTTTATTAAATCTTAACACTAAGGACTGAAGTGGAATATTGGTTTGTATTTTTTTATAACCTCTTGATTCTAATTAAAGATACTATAGGATCACCAGTTTACTGATTTGTTCTTCAGCATTCTTTATTTCCCCGTTGATTGACAGCTGCATTAGACAATCATAACATCTTCCTTTACTTTGGTTTTTATTGCATTGGCTACAGTTTGCAGAACAATGTAAAATTGCAGTGAAAATAACAAGAATCCTCAACTTCTGTATAATTTGAACAGGAAGACCTCCAGACTTCCAATAAAAAGATGTTGGCTATTAGCATTAGACTGTCAATATCTAGGAGTAGAATTGGACTTTTACCCCATAGAAATCTTTGCCCTTATAATATGAATTTTATTAATACACTTCCTAATATTAAGACTTCCTAGAAAGAACCCTACTGGACCATATTGGGTTTCTAAGAGACACTGGAAAGTATTTTAATTAATGTGTAGATCTATTATTCACAAATAAGTGTGGTCATTGTCAGGTTTGGGTTCTAAGGCTCTGTGGACTCTTTAAAGTGACTAGGAAGCCTTTTTATCATCTTTCAAAAAATACTGTACATAGCATGGGGATGGTCTGTCCTTCAAGTTTGGAAGACCTAACTTGGGCCTTTTTTGGAAAAAATCTTTGACATTTCTTTTCAAATTATTTCATGCATATTCTGCTTTCAGCTCTTCTATTTCTTCTTAGGTCAAGTTTTATCATTTCTATTTGCCAAGAAAACTGTGTTTAACTGGAGTTGTCAAGTGTATAAAGATAGATTTATATTTTTTCTCATATTTTTTAACTTGCCATATTTAAGGAAACATCACATTCATAAGTCTACAAAGCACTAAAAAAATTATTAGGCTTTCTAGATGTCTCCTTAATCATTGTTTTTGATAGCACTGGGTCTTGAACTCAGGACCTTGAACTTGCTAGGTAGGTGCTCTACCACTTGAGCCATGCCCCCAGCCCTTTTTTGCTTTAGTTATTTTTCAGGTAGGGTTCATGTTTTTGTAATTCTTTGGAATACGCAGGATTACATGTGCATACCACCACATCTGGCTTGTTGGCTGAGATAAACTTTAACTTTTTATCTGGGCTGGCCTCAAACCACAATCCTCCAATCTCCACATCTTGAGTAGCTGGGATTATAGGCTTGAGCCATGGCATCCAGCTTCTTTCATCACTTTTTAAAAGGTTTTGGGTTTATTTACCAATTCTACTCTTCAGTTAATTTATTTTGATTTGTATTTCTTTGGTCAGCCTAGCACTAGGGCTTCTTCAGAAAGAAGAAGTTATGTGTTACATTCTAAACCCCATATATAAATGCCACAAAACATTATTTTTCCCTCTTTTTAAACTTTCACAATACCATGCATTCTTTATCATGGCTTGTGAGAAGGACTAAGATTTGTGTAACTAATTATCTCCCCCACTGGCCTGCACATCTGAAGAGGGCAGAAATCACATATGTACCGCTTACCACTAGACACATGCGGTCTGCAGTGGTGGCGACAACTGTTTGTTGGAAGTATAAGTGGAAAACAGAAACTGAATGAGAAATACAGCCTAGCCCCTCCCCTCATTTAGGCCCATCATTTACCAGCACCCAACAAGCCCAAAGACCACTTACCAACCCCATAAGCAGCCGCTGGTGGCTGTCCTCCTCCTGCAACAGGGGCATTAATCTTGGCCCTGAAATTGAACAGAGTAGTTATCAAGCAGGGCAATTTTCAGGAAATGGATTAGAAGAAAGAAGAATCAGCCTGGGTTTCCCTTCTGTCATCACTGGAAAAACATAATGCTTCCAGACGGACACAGAAAGATCAAAAAACACAGAAAACGAGGAACATATCCCCAGCATCCGTGGTTTCTGGCTTTGGATTCTCTTCAACACAGGACCCACCACCATCTAAGGATGTCTCTGCTTCACTGGAGACAGGGACTTGGGCCTCTCTCAACTCTAGGGAGGCCATAACTTGAGAGACAGTGTTCAGGAAAGGAATGCATGGCTCTCTCTACTTCCTGACCCTGTAGTTCCGTGACTTTGGAAAATATGGGACTGAGGGGACCAGTCACTTACTGTGCAAATAATACTAATGGAAACAAGTTTTCAGACTGAAAAGATGGCTAGGTCAAGTTGGAACCCGAGAGGAAGAGTAAATCCGATGGTGCTTCATGAACCATGAGTGGTCCTGCACTAGCAAGGCAGCCAAACAGTCTTGCTAAAGATTTGCCCCATGGCTCCCCTAACCACCCTCCTTCTTGGTTCTTCCTCTCCCAGAGGGCCATGGCCAGGCCCAGCAGTCTGACAACCTTCTGGGAGGATGTGGACACTTCTTGGCCCCTTAGGAGAAATCCTGCCTCAATCCTACTCAGCCCTCAGGATTGGGACGAAATTATTCAGAATGTGAACCCCACAGCCCTGAGCCTCACAGTGTTCTGTTTCAGGTGGGGACAGCACTCTTCACCAGAAACTAGTACAGGCAAAGCTCCTGAGAGGGAGTGGAAGTTTCCAGTACACTAATGGCCACAGGAGGAGTTTTGAAAGCAAGCAGGAGGGGTGGACACAACCAAAACCTCAGCTAAACCAGTAACATTCCCCACATTCTCAAATCCCCTAGCAATGCAAAGAGGGTGACCCTGAGTCTTCCATAGTCATACCCTGAATGGCAGGCCAGGGCCTCTGGCTTCAGGCACAGCTGGCCTGGTTACAGGAGCAGAGGCTGCTTCTCTTGAGACCAAGTTCACCGTGATGGTTCACTGGACTGTGTGCACAGCTGCAGGTGTGCAGTTACCCACAGTCTAAATTAATTTCCTGAGGTCCCTCAATACAAACCTAAAACATCTCAGCTCCTAACACAGGCAGGGATATAAAAGCAGCAACTTCTTTAATTCAGGCCAGCCTTCGTGAGGCATGAAAGTGTTCCCTTGATGCCGAGACCAAAAAGGTGTGTACTTGCATATACTCAGCAGTTCCCTCCCCCAGTCACCCCTGACTAAATCTCCTTTGTCTGTCAAGACTTAACTTGGCTATCAGCTTCCTCCAAGCTCCCTCTCTCCCCAACCACCCCCACCCTGTCCACACTCTACACCAACATTATACCTATCACTTGGTTTAGAAATGACGGGTTAGCAATCTCCCACAAATGATAAAGCAATCAACATCTGGTACCCACATGCACTGTGCTAAGTGTTATCTACGTGAACCATTTTCCCCTCACTCAAGCCTTGAAAAGGACAATGTATAAAGGTGTCGATGACTCGCCTGTAGCACATACTTGGTACGTGGCAATTCTGGAATTTAAGTCTGGTTCTGTCTAGCTCCTGAGTTTGGGTTCTTCCTGCAGAGCCACACTGCTTACGAGAAGGCTCCTAGAGCCCAGCACAGGCCCAAGTTTTAACCAAAATGAAAGGCACATACAAGTCAAAGACCCCATGTGATTAGACAGCTGGAGAGAAAGCAGCCCAAGCCAAGGGAGCTGCCCAAGGTCACTCTGCAGGCACAGCCAGAGGGCATGCCAATCAGACCAACTGTGAGAGGAGGAATGACGAGACCCAGAGGGCCAACTCCCAGGGACTCGGCCAGCAAAAGCACATCAGCAGCTGTCTCTAAGGTCTTGGTGCCAAGACAGATGTGGCGATGACTGTGTGTCACTCTAACAAGGCGATATTAAAGGGTGCTGCCTTGATTATACTAAAAGTAATTTTCCTGCCAAGCTGCTGCTGGGAAGAACAGTGTTGTAAACAAAACACTAAAATCCAGAAAGCTTTCTTACAGTTTTTTCTTACCTGATTTCCTTGCTTCTATGTTAGAAATCACCCTACAAAGAAAATAGCCGTGTTATTCACACAGGAAGCATTTAAAAAAATTAAAGCCACAATACTATATAGATATCCTCCTTTCAAACCCCACTGTAGAAACTGTTCTCAGGCTACTGGAAACCTCGAAAACTTTAATCAATTTAACAAAAGCAATTAGAAATCTCCAAGCTATTTAGTGTCAACAATGGCAATAATTTAGAACAATTGCAGCTCTCAGTTATTGGAAAAAATGGAGGCAGAAAACAGAACAGAGGTTGGAATGTGGCCTACACTTTTGGCACTCTGAGATGACTCATTATCCAGAAAACACACTTTCAAAATAAGAGCAAGCTCCCCAGCCCACTAACATTTTTGCTTTCTTAAATTTTAAATCAACCTACTATCTTCCTTTGTCCTTACTAAGAGCCTTTTCATCACTTACCTACTGTAAATCATCCATCCCACAGTGCAAGTAAGTGCATAAGGATTAACCTATAAGATTATCCCACAAGAAACTCCAGCACCAAATCCAGAACAGGGCCCAAGAAGCTGACAGCTGAGGATATGTAACAAAAGTAAGCTTCTTCTCTGAAGAGTAGCCAACAAGGTAAAAGATAACCACATGACAGATACAAGAACCTTAAATTTTTTCACTTACTTTACTGCATTATCAAGAATATTCCTCACATATGCCGTGGACCTTCTTTTTCCTGTTTTCTAGGAGTGGAAACATGTCAGAAACATGGAAGGTGAAGGTTTTGTGGGTGACTTTTTTATATCAAGGTCATAGTACAATATAGTTAAGAGCTTCAGAAAGGGGAAATATACATTCTGGGTAAACAGAACATATATTCCTTTTTAAATATTTTTAACGTTTTATTCTGAAGCAACAACAAATTTTTTAAAAAGTTGCAAGTCAATTACATTCACCAGTGCTAAAGTACACACGACAGTACTACAGATAGCGTCATGTCTTCCTCACCCGGTCTCCCCCCACGGTTTGTGTCTTACCTAACTATACTACACTATGGAAATCAGGAAATCGACATTGATACAAGGAGTGTGTATAGTCCTATGTGATTTTATCACGTGTGCAGATTCATATCCCACAATTACCACCACCATCAAGATACAAAACCAAAGATCCCCGTTGTGCTGTCACTGTACAGTCAGTCTCACCGACTTTTCTCCCCCTAACCTCTAACCACCACTAATTTGGGAACGCCTTGATTTTTAACTATACAATTAACTCAAGAACACATCTGAGCTATGGACATTAATGGCTGTTCTACTACAGATGTGCTGTGCTCACTTTGCACTTTACTTTCCTGCTTGGGCACCTTGCCAATGACAACATACATTTGGGAAGAGGGCCGCCCATGTGAGCCAGCCTTGAGATGGAACCACGCTGTTTCTGCTGCTTGCTTTGCTCTAACCAGGCCACACATACCTCTTCAGAGACCAGGTTGTGCCACTCTCTCCTAACCACACTGTTGTGATAGTGTAAGTGTGGCTTGGTGTACTTAACATATTCCAGGTTGTAGTTCAGTTTTTCCCAGTAGCCCTTCAAGCTATGGACCTGCAGGAGACAGAAATATCAGCAAGCTTGAGAAGCAGACCCTGTGGATCAAACCACAGAAGGATCACCCAAATCTCACTGGTACAGCTCATGGTGGCAGCATTTTTGCATGAATACTTTCCACAAAGATGACAGTCAGGTTCCCAGAAGATCTCTAAAATAGGAAGACTTGGAATCTGGCCTCTTTACTTCATTTCTATCTTCACAACAGAACTGCTGCTTATTTTCCAAAACCAATAGGATTTCCCTGGGTTGGGTTCAACAGGGAAGCCAGTATTAAACACAAGTCATTTCCTCCCCAGAGAGCCATTTTCCCTGCTTAGGAGGCATCAACAATGCTATGTTCAGTCAGAGGATGTTCATACAGTTTGGAGCGAGTAGAGGCTTACTTTCCTGCTAAACTTATTTATTTCCAAGGATATTTTTCAAAACCTAGAAATCAAGAAAAGGATGAAATAAACTAGTTTCACAGCCAGGTGTCAAATTCTCCCAGACAGAACCAACTGGCCTGCTGGGTTTTTGATTTATTAATTATTACATATCCCCAAAGCATGAATGTACCCGTTATATTTATATTTTGAAAAATAAAATGCAATGCTAATGCTGTTTAATGTTGAAGGATCTACTGACACAAATTGGTTTTTTAAACCATGATAGATGAATTTATGATACATTCTTTCTTACCAAAATATGTACATTTGTAAAAGATTGGACTAGAACCAGTTATTCCATGTGTACCCATAAAACAAAGTGAGCTATTGCCTACTACAGTAACAGAGTTGACTGGGTTATAAGAAAATAAGAGAACTTAAATAAATATACTTCAATCAAATAAAATGCTGTGATGTTAAATAATAGCATGTGACCCAATTTTTTTATTGAAAGGACAAAGCTGGTTTATAATAGATTTTAGAGTATCAAAAAAGTAAGTTACATGATATTTTAAAACTTGGTGTTTTAGAAGCCTAAAATGCCTGGCTAGCTAATACCCCTTCTCCCAGACACAAAGAAAAAAACATGTTTCATCAGTGTATTAAAAACCACATTAGGCAATTATAAAAGCTCAAAAATTAAGGAAGTGTTTCCAAGGGAAATGGTATGACTCCTCGCCTTTTCTTTATTTACAGTGAATGTACCTTACCTATTCCTTGTTTCTTCTTTGTAGTTAAGAAAAATACAAAAGACAAGCCCTGCAACCATTTGGCACCACTAAGCTCCCAAGTGAGTTACTACAACTCTCTTGTCCTGTGTGTGGACTCAGGCACACTAGTGCCAAAGCCAGTAAACTAGTTGGTGTTGTGGTGACATCTACTGGTCAGCTGGGCTACTGACCATCCCTGCTTTGCCACAACCATCCCATGATGGACTTCACTCAGACCTTGTCTAGGACAGAATAAGGGAGGAAAGAAACTCAGATTCCCTCTACCTGTTCGCCAGCCTTGTTCTCTCAGGCCAAACGTTGTCCTGGTATCAAAAGACTCCACTCACACTGTAGCTGCTAAGAAAAATCCTTCCCATATTAAACTACCTTCTTCTCATTCCTTCATGAAAGAAATCCTTTTCCTCATAACCTGTGTCAGCCAAGGACAACAGATAACACCGAATCTTGTCAGGCCCATGGCCAGGCTTCAAAGGAGCCAGAACCCCCACTGACTGTATGTTAAAGGGAGTGTGTTCATATAAGTACTTTTCTGGGGTTGATAGTTTATACCTAGCATCAGATTTTGAAGGAATCCATAGTCTAAAATAGTTCAACCCTGCTGAGTAAGAAGGGATTTGAATTTAAAACAAGACAAAAATGAAAACTTACATTTAAGCAAGAAATACTGTCAGTCAAAAGTCCCAAACAGTCTCACATGAACTTATAGATCTTTCGGGGAGATGACAGACCTATTATCATCTCTGTTCTATTCACGGATATCAAGATATACAGAGAAAGACAATTAGTATACATGTCACTATTTGGTATCTACCAGACAAGTGACTAAAGTTTTTAGGTTGCTAGAATTCAGAGATCACTATAAATTGAAGGTCTGTTTGGAAGACCAGGAAACAGATATGGCCCAGAGATGGAGTGGATCTGAGTGAGTGAATGATAAGGAGAGGAGGAACTTTTAGTGGGCAAAGACTGAGAGAACAGAATGTGGATTGTAGGTTAGATCAGAGGCACTGCAGTAGACAGAACAAATACTCAGGGCACTCACTTCCTTCTCTGTGAAGACAGCAGCCTCCAGCATGTGAGCCATAGCCTCAGCTGCCACCTGGGGCCCATTTGCCAGAGATCTCATTGGTTTGGAGTGTGACCTGAGCCTTCTGAGTATTTCAATTCCTTGGGTGATTCTCATGTTAATCCAGGGCTGAAAACACTGCTTTAGCTTGTCCAAGTGACCCAGTCACCCTCCTGCTTCAAACACTGCGTTCAACCCATGCCTTGGTGTAAAGGGTGTGTGAAGACTTGTGATTGTATTAACGAATAGGAGAGGTGGTTATAGAGGTTAAGGCCTGTCCTAGAGGGATCTGAAATGCCAAGTTAACACCAGTATGCTCATTAAGCCAGAGAACAAATATAGCTCCGACACAGAGTATTAGATGTGGTAACCCATCCCAGAATCTCACTGCTGTGCTCGGGGACAACCTGCAAGCCCAGGAAGCCACCATCAGCCATCTGACACTAGGCCAACATGGAAGGCACTGACTGTTATACCCATCAAGAATGACAGCACAGAGTCAAAGCCACCAGCTCAAGACTCACATCACCAGCTGCTTGAAAACAGTGAATAATGCTTTAAAAATTACACACGAAGTGTTTTGTAAGAGAAATATCTATGAATATAGCTACTCCTGGGGGAGTAGACTAGAAGTAATCAGATTCTCAAGGAATAACTTTCTTTGTTTTGAGGCAGGAGCTTGCTATACAGTCTAGAATGGTCTTGAACTCTCCGTCCTCCTACCTCAGCCTCCCTAGTGCTGGGACTAAAGGTATGTGCAACCACACCTGGCTTAACTATTCATTTTGTAAGAAGAAAAATTATTCCAAGTCTGTTCTTCAGAAAGAATCTCATTTTGTCTCTTAGGATGCCATGAAACAGTTACCAAATGCAGCCCGTCACAACTATTAATTGAACAAAAGGACCAGTGGGTTACATTAAAAGAGCTGTTTCCCTTTATAACTTGGATTACCAATTGATCCAAAAACCAAACCAAACAAAAAAGCCCTGTGGTACTGGCTCATCTGCAAATTACTGCCAGGAATAAACATCTGCCTCTCATTTCTAAAAGGCCCTCTGGCTTTGGTCCTACTTCTGCTGATTAAGCAGCATCTTCTTAGGGGAGGCAGCCAACTTGGCGAGAACCCTTTCCCCTGTGTGCCACGACACAGCCTGCAGAGCTAAAGCATCAGTCCAATTTGGCTCTTCAGTGCACCCCATCTCAGTCTCAAATTTTCCTTACAGCCCAGAGAAGCACAGCCACTCGCTATCTCTCCCACAGAAGGAATAAATGGAAAATGTCTATGTGGACAAAAAGCTAGCAAGACACCATACTAAACAACAGGAATGTTCCTGCACAAGACAAATGACTAGATTTCCTGAGGCGGCACACTAAGGGAACTGTATGCTGCAAGTTCAAGGTCTCCTGAATATAAATGGACTTCCTCCTTCTTCCTCATTATCTGGCAAAAAAAAAAAAAAAAAAAAAATCCACTTCCTTGCCCAGCTGGGTGGTTCTATTAACTGGGTTTTTTTTTTTTTTTAATGTAATGACTAACTATTTCTCATAGTGTATGCCTTGAGAAATCCAACATTAAGCTATTTCCCTCATCTCCACCTTTAAAACAGAACATTATGTCTCTAACCAAAACTATTAATAAGAGCAGCACAGACTAGTGGCTGGTAGGAGAGGAAAAAATAAATAAATAGAAACCCTTGATCCCGGGTCTATCCCTCAATTTTATCAGCTAGGAGATAGACTGATGAAACCCCATCTCTACAGACAGGGCAAGAATGAGGCTCTGTTTATAATATTTGTTATGGCATCACAAAATTACGGTTTACATTACCAATTGAACTTACTGAAACTCATTGTCCCAGAAAATGTGTGCAAACTGAACTTTGGAAAATCAGTATTTGCCACATAGCCACTTGACCCTTGTGGCACTGCTACATCTTTGTCAAATCAACAATTCTAATATTAAAAAACTGTGAGCTATTCCATTATGATTACGCTGACACTTTGGATCTCTAATAGATCTTTTATTTACGTGATAGTATCTGTCTATACTGGGGGCAGTCAAGGAAAGAAATGTCCTTTATGATTGTCAAATTAACATATTTTTAAAACACTTCTCGAGTAAAGGAGCAAGTCTGTGGGTGGACAGCAGTGCTTATCCCAGTTGCTCAGGGACTGTTTGCTCTGGACAGACACTTGCAGCATCACCCTTACACTTGAGAGGCCATACGGAGGAAAGGGCTTTAAGTCCTTCTGGCCTGCTCAGTCTGGATCAAGTAGTTAGCATTCTCTAAGCCTATGATTCAATACACTAATGATATCTGTTTTTGAGCTGGGCGTGGTGGTGCACATTTGGAATCCCAGCACTCAGGAGGCTGAGGCAGGAGCATCTTGAGTTCAAGGCCAGCCTGGGTGACATAGTAAGCTCCTGTCTCAAAAACCAAAAAAGTGTCTAATTTTTAAAATACTTCCGTGTGTAGCAAGCTCATTCTTTTATTTTTATATTTGACTAAGTCACTGTCCCTTGGTTTTAATCTTCACACATTTCCTGTGGTTGAATAGTTTTAATGACTTCTCTTCTTACTATAAGAATCAAGGACAATTTCTAACCTGTTATGAAAGTTGCTACTTCCTTAGCGCAACCTACAGTTTACAGAGAGACAAAGCCATTCTTAGCAAGGTCACTTGATGGCTTTTAAAACATAGACCTTGTTTCAATATACTTTTTGTTTAATTTTTATAAATTATTTGGCAAACCACTTAAAAATAAGTCCTTTGTCTTTCAGGTGACAAACTTCTTATTTAACTGGTTTACCTACCCCAACAGGCTCACATGTCTTTGTCCATTCCAGCGGCTGTAACAAGATACCATAAACTGATGGCTTCTGTGCAACAGTTAGTCCTCACAGCTCTTGAGAGTGGGATGCCCTGAGACAGGATGTGGACAGAGTCGGCATCGGACAAGGGCCCACTTCCTAGACCAGTGTGTTTTCTCTGTGACATCACGTGGCAGAGGGACAAGCTAGCTCTCTGGGGTCTTTTTTAACAAGTATACTAATCCCAGTCATGAGGCAAAGCCCTCATAACCTAATCAATCACCTTTCAAAGTCTCCACCTCCTAAAACCATCTCCTTGGGGACTTCAACATATGAATGGGGGGACATAAACATTCAGACACAGAAACATATTAGACATCTGCAAAGTGCTCTCCCTCTTCATGCTAAATTTGCAGAAAGAGCAGGAGGAGATCTAGTTTCACTTTGCCCAGCTCTTTAGGCAGGAGAGAGGAAGTAAATGCGGTCAGAGTAAACTCCTTGGGACTCAAGCAGTGTCCAGCAGCAAGCACTCATCCTAAACGTAACTTGTGGTTCAGGTCATGAGGATTCATGGCAAGAACAGTCTTAGAACTGGGGCAAGGGAAGGGCAGGTGGTGGGAGGCTCCACTGCAAGTGGGTCCATCACAATATAATTAAGCTGGGACTTGGGGTAGAAGAAGTAGGTCAAAGGCAAAGGCAGCCACTTGTAGTGAGGGGTATGATGCAAGCAGAATGGAGAAACAAATAGGAGCCCTTAGGCCAGGTGTCCTGTGAACCAGAATGCACTGATGGGAGTCTCCCATGCTGAGCCACTGAGGTAGGTAGAGGACACAGGTCACACCAGAGTCAGTACCCTTGTCTCCTGAGTACCAGGACTTTGGCCTCCCCTGATGGCTCATGTGTGTATGGAGGCTGTTGTATAGAAATCTTTTCAGACTTACTCTTGGTAACTCACTCCCAGCATACATGTGGAATCACCGAAGAGCTCCCAAGCCCCTGAGGGAAGGAAGAATGAGAACAGCAGAGCCACGTGCTAAGGACTAATTTGGAGAAGAAAGTGAGGAAAAATGGGGAATGGCAAAACAGGAAAGAACTCAGAGGACACAAAACATGTCCTTTTATGCAGAAAGAGAGAGAGAGAGAGAGAGGAAATAAACAAAAACAAGAAAGTACAAAAATAAACAAAGCCAAATCATATTCTTAGAATAAGCCAGGGAGGAAAGAGATAAAGAGCTTCCCTTTTAAATGAAAACACACAATGCTGACAAGGTTATGATAAAACTGATAAATTCATAAATCCTTTTCTACCATGTAATTAATCACAACTTTTGCTGAATATTAGTTTAGTAATAAGAATCTAAATCTATAGAAATTGACAGAGTTCTTTTACCCAATGATATTCCCAGCATTTAACCTTACAGTAATGAATCAAAAGAAAAACTGTATGTATTAAAATATTCACTGAAACATTATTTTTAATAGCAAAAAAGTTGGGGGTGGGGGGATCAAACCCAGTGCCTAATACATGTGAGGCAAGCACTCTCTCTACCACTGAGCTACACTCCACGTCTCTCCCAAAATTTTAAATGGTGTCTAGAGAGAAACTAAATGTCCAGAAGGTTAGTTAAATAAATTAAGACACAGTGACCCAGTGGAATCCTACAGAATCTTTAGGCACCATCAGTTCATTGTATCAACATGAAAAACATTTATGATCCGTTATAATCTGTAATATTTATCAAATGTCTCTAGATCACCATCACTCTTAGGTAAAATGTGTATTCCCATGACAAAGACCAGAGGAAAGGGGGAAAGTAGTTATATACTAGAAACTGCAGAATCATGGGTAATACTTCTTTCTTTTAAAGATTTTCTTCTGGTCAGGCATGTTGATGTATGCCTGTAATCCCAGCTACTCAGGAGCCTGAGGGTACAGCACAGTGAGAGGGCACTTGCCTATCATATTGAAGGCCTTGGGTTCAATCTTCAGCACCAATTAAATCATTAATTAATTAATAATTCATGCATTATGAGTTTGGTAGGACTTCTGGTAGGGGCAGAAACAATGTAGCAAAACTCTTTGCTTTCCATTCATCTTCCTACATTAGCAGGGTTTTCCAGTGGCTCCATACTTCTGCCTGGAGACAGCTGGTCAGTCTGTCCTTCAGGGACTCTCCTCAGGACCAAAAGCTAGAACCACTAACCCATCCTCTGGTCTACTCTCTCTCCCCAGGGCAGCACCATGGCCTTTCCCCAGCTACCCAGGCCCTTCCTGCCTTTTATGGGTCCAAATGTCAATGAGAGGCTGCAAAACACTGAGCTGCTGCTGACAGAAACTGAGATTTCCCAGTCTACACCAAGCTGCGATCACCAGGAGGAATGCCAAAAACAACAGGGAGTTTCAGGGAAACTGTGCTAAAGACCCCTCCCTCCTTCAAACTACATGCACACTCTTTCCTCCTTACACACCCACCCCTGTTTGTACTCTGAAACTTCTGAAACCACCAGACTACAGAAGGACTGACAGCCACAGCTTAATGTGCGTAGGAAGGAGGTGGGCTGAGCTTGATTGACGCCACACAGGGAGCCCGTGCAAACCACTCTTGAGAAAGGGATAGGCTCCTACCAGAAACAGAGGAAATCAGATAATCCCAGCACAGAGTACCTAATGTTTGTAACATTGGACACTGTGTATGTGCACACCTGTTTAAGGAAGTGACTGCAAATGAAGCAAAAAGAGTTCCCAGGCTCTCTAAAGATAATTCATTAGCACATTTCCATTAAGAACTGTTTGAGCCAGGTGCAGTTCCCCAAACCTCTAATCCTAGCTACTCAGGAGGCAGAGATAGAGAGGATTTCAGTTCCAGGCCAACTGTGGGGGGCGAGGGGGTCACAAGACCCCATCTTACCATAAAAGCTGAGTGTGGTGGAATGCACTTGTCATCCCAGGTACTTGGGAAGTGTATGTAGGAGGATCTCAGTCCAGGCAACCTGGACATAAAGCAAGACCCTATCTTAAAAAATAACTGGGCACCACCAGTGGCTCAGGCCTGTAATCCTAGCTACTCAGGAGGCAGAGATCAGGAGGATCATGGGTCAAAGCCAGCCTGGGCAAATAGTTCAAGAGACCATATCTTGCAAAAAAAAAAAAACCTATCACAAAATAGGGCTGGTGGAGTGGCTCAAAATATAGGCCCTAAGTTTAAGCCCTGATACCACAAATAAAGAAATAAATCAAAACAAAGCACTGAAATTGTTTTAAGAAGGGGGAGGTGAAAGGGATGTGGGAGAATGACGGATGGGGTGAATCTAACCAAGGTACATTATAAGTACATATGGAAATGTCACAATGAAATCTCCCTCTGCAAATAAAATATGCTAATAAAAAGTAAATAAATAAATAAGGCAAAAAGGGTTGGGGCAATGGCTCAAGGTATAGAGAACCTGCCTAGCAAGTACAGGGCTCTGAGTTCAAACCCCAGTACCACCACAAAAAGAAAAAAAACAAAACAAAAAACCTGAGGCCTGGTAGCAAGTATTAGTGGATATGGTTTGAGTTGAGCCCTGTAATTCCCTCCTATCTTCAGAAAACTTCCTGCTCCAAAGACAGTATTTCTAAAAATTTCTGGGGAAGGATTCTCCAGAGCCCCTGTGTACTCTGCCAGCCTGCAATTCCTTGTGGAGCCACCATGCTACTGGGGGCAGCAGAGGCCCAGTCACACTTTTGTCTCACTGACAGCAACTTACCTTCATCAGAGGCAATGAGATCTCTTCCGTCACAAGGGTTATCCCAGGAATTTCCTACGGTGGGGAAAAAACATACATGCCACTGCTCAAGTATCAACCACTGCAGGCGTAAGCCCTCAGGAAGTTTCTTCTGTGCAGACAGGGCTGAGGCCAGCTTCCAGTGTGCTAACTTCTACTTTAAATAAACTTCGTGGCGCATAAATAGCAGTGAACACAGCCTATCTCTTGCCTGGGAAGGGAACCATTCTTTAAATAACAGCTGACGGGATGGAACAGCTAAAGAGAAGGAAAAGATTATCATGAAAGAACACAGAGAAAACATTGCATTTTTTAAAACACATTTAAGAACTGAGGCAAATTTTATTTGTACCATCAAATGTAGTAATAATAAAGCAAAAGTTCCATTATTTGTACTCCTTCGTCCTCTGACTTCTCTTTTACTTACATGTATTACAGTTGGCCTTTGCCTCACAAAAAGGAACCAAAATTACTATTTTGTGTGTGCGTGTGTGTGCGTGTGTGTGTGTGTGTGTGTATGGTTCTGGGGATTGAACCTAGAGCCTTGCACTTGCTAAGTAAGCACTCCACCACTTCGGTAAGCCTTTTCGTTTTGTTTTGTTTTGGTGGGACTGGAGTTTGAACTCAGAGTTTTGTATTTGCAAAGCAAACACTGTACCACTTCAGTAACACCTCCATCCATTTTGCTCTGTTTATTTTGGAGGAGGGATTTCAGAAACTATTTGTCCAGGCTGCCTCAAACCCTGACCTTCCCAATCTCGGCCTCCCGAGTAGCTAGGATGACAGGCGTGAGCCATCAGCACCTGGTTCCCCCAGCCCTTTTTAGTTTGTTTTTCAGATTGGGGTTTCGTGTTTTTCCTTGGGCCAGATTAAACCAGGATCCTTCCACTTCCACCTCCCCCACAATAGCTGGGATTACAGGGGACCACACTCCCAGTCTTTATAATGGGATTCTTATATAGCTTGAATGAAAGGTTTTCTACACACTTCCACCCCAACTTCAGAGGCAAGAAGTCCCCATCCAGAGTTTCTACAGCACTGGTTCCACACCAAGCTGAAAGGTGAATGATTCACGCATTCTAACTAGTGAGCATTTAGACAAGCTTAAAAAATGAACTCCCAAAATTGCCTTCAGTTCACGGTTATTGTGAAAAATGTGTCTCTGTGTTAACTGTGTGGTTGGCCTCTCCTCTGGTCAACAGGTTCCCTTTAAAACGTCAATGATATGTGAATAAACAGTTTAGATGATGCTACAGAAGATTAGAAGCTAGTGTCTGGAGCTTAAAGGACCTGGATGCTACTGACATACAATATCCCTAGAAAATCCAGCATCAGTGACGAGAGAAGTACACTTTCAGAACATCTGAGAAACTGAGTTCTCTGTGGGACAACATAAAGCCTATAAGAAGTACTGTACACTTCACTCAGCAACAGAAGATCCGTCACAGCAGTGTGAAAACTGCATGACAGGACTGGGGGTGGGGCTTAAGAGTGCTTGCCTAGCAAGTGCCAGGCCCTGAAGCTGGAGGCCCTGAGTTCAAATCCCCAGAGAGGCCCTGAGTTCAAGCCCCAGTACTGCCAAAAACAAAGGCACTAGTTTTAGATTATGAATAGGATTTAAGACAGGTATAACAAGAACATTAAAACAGTTATAATTGTTTGCAAAGGATAATTCAGGATTATCTATGTATAAGAGCACCCTGTGTTCTAGTATCTTCAAAAAATGCAAGTCAATTATCTCCATACCAAAGTGTGCAATTAATGTTTTCAACTGTGGCAAGGTTTAACTAAGGCTGTAGCATTAAGACCAATTGTGGATTAGAGGAGGAAAACGTAAAATGACTTTTATCATTGGTAAAGATCAGTGGAAACTCACAGAACTTCAGGATTAGAAGAGGCCTTCAAGGTAACCAACTCTAACCGCAAGAAGTTTTAAAGCAACATGGTAAACCCCCAAGTCAGCTTAGTACTCAGGGGTTATCACTGTGGGTTTCCCTGCATTGTTCTTGAGGGACTTCCTCATGTCACTCTGTATATGTTCATGAAGGTTCCTGTGCCCCACAGAGCACTGAGAAAGGCAAATGAATGGCGACCTCAAACCTGCCCTTTGAACCCAACCCTGGTATCAGTGGGCCCAGCCCTGCCTCCTGGCCACTTCGAACACAGGACAAAAGAGCAAAGGGTGATGATGAGAGGGAGCCAAGAAGCGCATTTCCTGAAGTGGTGTAACCTGCAGACTTCCTACCACATAACCACAGCGTCTGCAGCTATACTCACAAGCATTGTAGAAAAACATGGGCGCCTAGAAAGCTCTTTCTTTCCCTCACAATGCTACAATGAAGCATGAAAATCTAATCTCTCTCATGACAAAAGACACAGAGAAAGGGCCTTCAAGAAAACACTGCCCATTGTGCATATCAAAAATTTAGAAATTTATCAAACACACTTGATACGCCTTTTTTTCCGGCAGGGTTTCAATATGTCGCCCAGGCTGGCCTGGAACCCTTGGTCCTCCTGCCTCCACCTCCTGAGAGCTGGAATTATAGGTGTGTGCCACCGTGACCGCCCCTTCCTTGATGTCTTTTTTAAGGACAGTATTTAGACATAATCTAAATAAAAATGAAAGCATCACAATTTACCCTAGAACATATTTTCCTATGTCTATGTTACTTAAATTAAATTTATTATTCAAAAAACCTTTTGATATGACTTCTGCCTCAGAACTAAGCATGTAGTTCCAACACCTAAATATGAAAAAAGAAGAGGCCATACATTTTTCAGGTGCAACCTAAGTGTGTTTTTCACTTGTTGGTCCAGCAAACCCCAGTTTACTGTACCACATTGAAGGAAAAATGAATGATGTTTTAGGTCATCACTTCCTAATTTAAAAGGAAAGAGTCCAGAGTGGCAGGAAGAAAAGGTTGAGTGGAGTGTGTTTGCTTAAGAATGCTCTCTTTTACTGACTTTGAAACTCTTGAGTTATTATGGATTTTCTTTCTGAATCTAGGAAAAGGGGCCAGGAAGGTCCTAACTTACCAAGTATAACTGCAGTGATCCAGCCATTCATCATTTATAAAAACTTAATGAACATGCTAATTTCCCTAGTCAGCATAAAAGTAAAAATACCATTTTATAAAAATACCATGCTAGAGTTTCTTTCTGCCTGGTAGTAGAAAGAGTAACAGGTCCCCTGAGTCTGCTCCTATGCTACATTGTTTCCCAGAAGCACTGGTAGCCAATGGCAGGGGTTCAGTACAGGTTGAGCATCCCTCATCCAAAATGCTTGGACCAGAAGTGCTTCAGATTTGGGATTCATTTTGCAGACTTGGGGATATTTGCATAAACATGGATCATTTTAGGATGAGACCCAACTCTAAACACAAAATTCATTTGTTTCACAAAGTCCTTATATACTTAGCAGAGGGCAATTTTACATACACTATTTTTAGTGCAACTTCAGTTTGACAGACTTGTCACATGAGGTCAGGAATGAAATTTTCCACTTGTGGCTTCCTACTGGCTCTCAAAAAAGTTTCAGATTTTGTTGCATTTTAGAGTTCAGATTTTCAGATTAAAGATGTTCAACTTTTCTGCCAGGAAATGCCAACTCAGTTCCTGATCAGAAATGAAATTACAGCCCTGGTTACATTAACAGGGACGTTCTACAACTGACCCACAAATGTGACCTGATTTTAATTACATTCAGAATACAACCTGTTCACTTACCCAGTTCCAAGTGAGCACTGAGGAATATGGCAAGAGTGTGTCCACGTTACTTGACTCCAGGTACACACTCCAATAGGAAGAAGCTGTGTGGATTTTTGAAAGATAGAAAAGAGACATGATTTGCTAAGAATAGAGATGTCAACATTGTAATCTAACCAAATCAAGCAAAACAATACAAGTTTTCATTGCCTAACTCTTCCTTTTTTTTTTTTTTAGGTTCTGCATTTTTACAATGAGAATAATTTCAAAAAATTTGTGTGGCACTGCATCTATCCAGATGACACTGTACCACCATATACAGAGCCAATCATAAAACTGACCTAAAGGTACATTTTACTGAAAAAAAATCGCTAATAAGATTATAGAATCAGAACCCTATCTTTTATCTCATCAGCCTATCAAAGCCACAGCTTCTCACAGAAACCACAAGAGAATGAAATTTAATTATCTGCTGACTACAATAGAGTTTGTAAAAAAGAAAGTTCTCTAGGCCACATTTTGACAGATCAAGACATTCATTATCCACTTCCTGATTTCCCTGAAGCAAAAGGGTCGAGCATTCAGCTTAAGTGTACCATCAGCAATACTTACCAATTAGAAATTCCTGAATGAGGTCAAATGAATGGCAGGCAGAAGCATTCTCAGAAATCCACTGAATGATCTTTAAAAAGTGAGATGGTAGAACTCCATGGGTATTTAAATCTGTCCTCTGCCCCCACCCAAAGAATTACAAATGTGTATACAATAAATGAATGTAAGTAAATGCATCTTTTAAATTCTATGTCTGTTTTGGAATTGCCTTAAGAATACATTCGCTTCTACATTATTTTCAGGATGCATTAATGTAATCTTAATAATCAGTACACAATGAGGTTTTTTTTTTTTTTAACACATCTTTTCAATAAACGCCCTTGGCCAGCATCCAAATAAACCTTCTTCAATGCAATGCATGTTTTGGGTTTTTTTGCTAGAATAGGTCATGTTATGCCAACGCACCAGTGGGAACAGTTGTGGGACACAGGAGCAAACCAAGCAAAACAAGACTATGAGGCTTAGAAGCAACAACCTGGGTGTGAGGTCCAGCTCCATCATTGGTATAAACACTGTTGCACCACTTACCCTCCACAAGCCAGTGTCACCACAGGGACAGAGAAGGATAATCCCTGCTATAGCTGCGACTCTCAGTCACCATACTTAGCCTCACCTGCTAGAGAAAGCCCCTTGATTCCTAGCTAAAAATTGAGGCTAGGTAAGGCCTTCCTGGTCACAGTGCACTCTCGTTTTTCTACACGTATCCATAAACTGTTTCATTCCAAACCTATTGATGCCAATTGTACTTATTTTCACAATTGGGTAATTTAATTCAATTTATTATAAACAAGTGAAATATAGATATGAAAAGAGTGTTTTGTGGTCAATGAAAGTTAAATGCTTGGGAAAGACTCAAAGGCAAGTCTCTAAAATACTTACTAAAAAACTAGGTACAGATGAAATAAATTTAAAATACTGGGTTTAAAATGCCTGATATATACAGATTGCTTTAAATTATTGACCTCCTTAGAAATAAAAATTTTCAGAAAGTAACAGGAAGTCAAAGATAACATATTAAGAAGTAGTTTTATGCAAGAAAAATGACTTTGAACTACAATTAGCTGATTCCCAAAGAAAAGGCCCACCAAAAGATAAACAGATAAACATACATTTATACATTTTAGGTTAAAATAAAATGTCTAACATATCTATTTTATCAGTTAACCAGACAATCATTGGTCCCAACCATATGTGAGTAAAAGGATTTTTCTGACCTCAGGGAATAGCTGTAAAAATTAAACAACAGGGAATGTGTGAAAGTGGTTTGTAAGCTACAACATACAAAACAAATGTAAGCTACCATTATGAAAATGTAATAACCATTTGCCATGAGATCTTAGTCCTTTGATAATATATTTACACCAAAGATAGACCATGAGAAAAAGTATTTGAGAAACTCATTATTTGACCAGCACTTCCTTGGAATACTACTGATATAGCTAAACATTTGTCCACAATATGGGAAAAAAAAGTCCAGTAATTTCATGACCTGTGGTTTCATGGATGCTTGAAACCACAGGTAGTACAATCTCTGAGCAAATTAGCATGCAATTTTTTCTCTTTCCTCATTAAGTCAAGAATTTTCCCCTTTCCATTTAAAAGAAATTCTTTGACATAGGTGAATTGCTAACATCACTACTCAAACTTTGTGGCCATCATAACATGAAATAAGAGTGCTTGAACACAAGTACTGCAATACTGTGACAGTTTAGCTGGTAAACAAGATAACTATTATATGACTGACAGGCGGGTGAGCACACACAGCATGCATACAGTGGACAAGGGGGTGACATAACTCTGTGCAGGATGGAGCAGAGTGGCAGGAAACTTCGCCACACTACTTGGAACAGTGTGCAATTTTAAATTTATGAATTATTCATTTCTGGATTTTTCTATTTAATATCTTCAGACCAGAGTTGATCTGGGGTAAGGGAAATCACAGAAATGAAACTATAGATGACGGAACTATTGTACTCAAAAGAATACACACACCCTCACCATCTGAGGCCTGGTAGAAATCCACAAAGAAGAATCTGTTCAAAAGCGAGAGCATACAAGGGAAGTATAAAGATAGGTAAGACACTCAAAAATCTAGATAGCATTTGTTGCCCTCAATGCAGAGAAACTAAAGCAAATACTTTAAAGCAACTGAGGCCAATAGGAGAAGGGGACCAGGAACTAGAGAAA